TTTCTTTCTTTTTTTTTTTTTTTTTTTTGCTTTTCAAGACAGGGTTTCTCTGTGTAACAGTCTTAGCTGTCCTGGAACTAGCTCTTGTAGACCAGGCTGACCTCGAACTCATAGAGATCTACCTGCCTCTGCCTCCCGAGTGCTGGGATTAAAGGCATGCGCCACCACCGCCCGGCTGATGACCTTTTTCAAGATGCACTAAAATATATGACTTAATAGAATATGGACTTAAAAGACTATATCAATTCAACAATGTAAACAAATTTAAAAGTTCTCTATTAATCCTTCTCAGAGAATCTGAGTTTACTGCCTACTGCTGTGATAAACACCATGACACAGCCACTTGGGGAGGAGAGGGTTTATTTCATCTTGCACTGGGGAGGAAAGGGTTTATTTCATCTTGCACTCTCAGGCCACACTCCATCACCAAAGAAAGGCATGGCAGGAACTGAAGCAGAAGCCCTGGGAGAATGTTGTTTACTGGTGTTCTCCTCATAGCTGCCTTAGTTTGTTTTCTTACACACCCCAGAATCACCTACCCAAGGATGGCACTGCTTACAGTGAGCTGGGCCCTCCCACATCAATCATTAGTCAAGACAATGGACCACAGGCTTGCCTATGGGCCACTCTTGTGCAGGCATTTTCTCAACAGAGCCTCCTTTGTCTCTCAGATGATTCCAGTTTGTGTCAAGCTGACAATACACTAGTTTACACACTATGAAATTATGGAATGTTATAATAGCTCTAAAAAAATGTTTGGATTCACAGACCAATAGATAAAGCAATAAAAATGTCTAATCACATGAACACACTTACATATAGAGAGAGAGCCATATATACACAGTATATACATATAAACAAATCCATTCATATATTCATCTAGTCTCATTTTTTTAAGCTATCTGAAGAGTAGAAGACATATAATTTCATACAAGGTTTCTTCCAATCTTTCTATAATATTTTTCTCAACCTATCTTCCTATTAAGACTAAGATACTTTGAATTTCTGTATGTATTCTTCTAAGACACTGTCATTATCTTAACTAAGAACAATTTTTATAGTAAAAAGTCATTACTATCTGTGGTGTTTAAAAGAAAATGGTTCCCAAAGGGAGTGGCACTATTAGGAGGTGTAGCTTGCTGGAGTAGGTATGGCCTTGTTAGAGGAAGCCTGTCACTGTGAAGGTGGACTTTGAGGACTCATATATGCTCAAGCATGCGCAGTGTCTCAGTTCATTTCCTGTTGCCTTTGGATCAAGATACAGAGTTCCCCAGCACCATGTCTGCTTGCATGCTGCAATACTCCCAGCCTCCATGCTCCCTGTCATAAAGACAATGGACTAAACCTCTGAAACTGTAAGTCACCATTTCAATTAAATGGTTACTTTTTTTGTTTTTATAAGAGTACTGTGGTCATGGTATCTCTTCACAGCAATCGAAACCCTAAGAAAGTATCAATGATAAATTTCCTTTGACAGGCTCACATATTCATTTGCAGTAAACAGACATGAAGACCTGAGCACCCTGGAGTCATCACCTATTCAACCAATGGCATTCAGCACATCCCTGTAAGTGGTATATACTGGAATGCAAGGATAGTCTTCATCCTTGAGGACACACAAGAGCACAAAGTACACAATGTGTCATTATTATTAAAGTTATTACACATCTCAAAGAGTTAAGATTTCTGAATCACATCTTTACTGAGCATTCAGAAAGGAAGTGATTATGGTGACACACACCTGCAACCTCAGCACTTAGGAGACCGAGACATAAGGGTCACAGGTTGGTGGCTAACCTGGGCCTCATGGGAAAACTGTCTTAAGAAGAAAAACATGGCAGAAAATACATTAAGATTTCAAAAGTCAAAACTGATATTTGGAAGAATAATAACTGTCTTATTACACCTGACTTTCAAGGTATAAAAATTCTCACAACCTATTTACTTAGTTAATACATGAAAACTAAGCACTTATTTAATACATAAAAACTAAGCACTATTTTGCATGGTGTGTTGGTTCCTAGGACAAAATAAATAAACCAACAACACTGCCAGTCCCATGGAGCTTAGCCTAATAAGGCCAGTGGAGACAGACTATGTTACGTTCCCCTATGGTGAAGAAAGCAGAGGAAAGGAAAACTAACACTGTTGAGCACGGGGCACAATCACAAAGACACAGTTCTCAGTTCAGCATGATCTAGTCACTGGGTTTGAGCCAGTCTGAACATCAAGCGAGGTTTTCCTGAGCAGGAGACAGTGAGGTACAGGCTTGAGCATTGCAGGGACTATGGGGGTGGGAGGAAAGCCCCACTGCACATGGTGCAAAGCCCTTCCCCAGCTATGAGACCTGGAAAAAAGTTACTAAGTTGTATCAAAAACTAAAATTAAAAGCAGTGCATCTTCCATATGTAAAGAAGCTGCCTGCCTCAGTGCCTCCCTATGCAATCTAGTTAAGGACAGTTGCTGGGACTTACCACTTGGTACTCCAGGTCTGCTAGAAGTCTGAAGTGCTCCTTCCCCAGCAAGAGCAGTTTGCTCCTCCCTGTGACAGGGCTCACTTCCAGGTGAGTGAAATACAACACCACAAACAACAGTCCGGAGGCACTCAGGCCAAGAAGCAACTTCCATTTATTCTTCTTCACGCTGTCTTTAAATAGCTCCTTCTTGTTGGGAGGAAGTGCTTGCCACCATTTCCTTATGCCCCTGTGACAAACCAGAAAGGAGCATCGTAAGTGCATGCTCACCTTCCAACAAAGCTCACACACGTGAGCCAGGATTTTATAGCACCAATGACTTCAATCTCTATGTTTCTCTGTACACATAGTTTTTTAACTTATAAAATTCTTAGCTAAAGGATGAAAAAGTCAGCAAATCTATAAAGTCATACTTAAAATCCGCAAGGCTCGTTTGAATGTCCCCCTTCAGCTAGTGTGAAGGCAAAGACTAACGTGAGGAGCTGTTTTACAGCCACCTCTGACCAACACTCGGATTGGTTGCCATAGTCAAAGTGCTGTTCTAATAATTATGCACATGTCACCTCATCCGCTCTTCCTCATGTAATAGCTTGATACAGAGAACAACCTAGCCATGGTGATCGGTTGGTCCAGTCGGTCCGTCGTGAGCAGCAGGAGGAAAACCCAGGAGTAAAGGGAAGGCAGATAGAGTCCCAGGCCATCATCTGGGGTCACGAAGGATAAATATGTACCTTTCAGAACTGCTCTTCCCACTGGTCCTCAGACTCCAGCTCAGTCTGCAACCCAGCAAGGAAGAAGAGAAGCTACCTTGGCACTGACTCCGGGAGTGAGCTGCCCAGAGCAGCAGCTCCACTAGCGTGTCACTATAGAACCAAGAGGGAAAGCAAGATCGGAAACACCAGAGTAAAGAAATGGGCACCTTACAGATGCAACCTGGGGATGGCCTTGTGAGCTGACAATAGTTCTCTCAAGTGCTGTAAACAGTGACAACAAGCAATATTTTCAATAGTGGGACAAAACATTTCCTTGTGTACACATTTGTCAAGTCTCAATAAAATTTATCACACACACAAATATCCATCCCTTGATAGAAACTCATTTGACATAGTAATTTTGTAGTTCCTGTAATTTACCAAGTTCCTGCTATCATAGTTCCACCAAAAGGTCTCTGTATTCCATATCAAAGGCTTGGTCTCTGGCCTGTGGCACTACTATGAGATTCCAGGTCTCTAGTGATAAAATGTAGGGTCACTGGGGATGTCCTTGAAGCGGATGATGCGGTTTTTCTATATAGCCCCTGTTGTCCGGGAACTTACCCTATAGACCAGGTTGGCCTTGAACTCACAAAGATCCTGCCTCTGCCTTCCAAGTGCTGGGATTAAAGGTGTGTGCTACCACTTCCTGACCACTTATTTCCTGTTTACAACATTTATAGAATTATGACTTACTTATGTATAGAATATAAGAGAAAATTTATAATAGTAAAATCAATACCAAATCAAACAATTTTAAAGGACTAGAACTCACAAAACCATCCTCCCTATAAACAAGGACAGGCTGGTTACTTAGGAGCCAATGTAGATACCTATTTTCTGACCGTCAACATCAAGCATGTAGAATTAAACACATTACAGAGGAACTCTTCAGTTTTTAATAAAAGCAGACTGGGTTGTGAGTATGGAAGGAAGTAGAGAGCTAAACATAAGAAAACTTTACGAAGAGATGATTTGCCTTCTTTGACCTTCATGGAATGAGGAAAGGGGGGTGAGAAACAAGCGCTAGCTATAAGATGAGGAACCATGAAGGACGACCAAGAAGAACAGAACAAGGACACACTGACAACAGGATGGTAGAGAGCATCGCTGACGTGTTACATGAGGGAAGACCCTCACTTCATGCTCACTGCCTAAGTCCCACAAAATCCAAAGGTGATGTTCTTAAGTGCTGCTGCCAATGCTTCCCATTCTCCCGATTAGAGATGTAAAGTCTCTTAGAAACGTCTCTAGCAACAAAACTTAAGGATCCATTTCTGTACAATAAACAGATGATTTCAAGATCACACATAACAAGACTAGTAGAACTTACCTTTAAAACTCAAATTTTGAGCTGAATATGGTTTGGGGAAGTTTCTTTAAAAGTAGAGTTTTATAACACAATAAAATTTAATTGTTAAAAATTATTGTAATTTGATACAAATGTAACATGAAAATTTAAGGACTTTAACACAAACGTTGTTTCCCCCAAGTACGGTTACCTGCCCACAATGATGGCCAGGAGCTTCTGCACTGGTTTCAGAATAAGCAGCAGGAGAGGGACTGGGGCGGCCAGCGCCCGCGGAGACGTGTGGAAACTCCTGGCGGCTCTTACTGCAGGGCAGCTCAGAGGACACAAGGCTGCAGGAGCAGGACCGCCAACCCCTTCTCTCACTCCGTGTCTTGGAAAAGTACATTTGTCGATAAGCGCCCCCGTTTCCTGGCTTTGGCCATTTGAGAAGTATCTTGATTTTTTGTTACTGAGGGTCCTACAAAAACGGAAGTTGCCAGGCTGTAAAGTCAGCAAGTGACGCTGACTGACTGTGTTAAGTCCCCAACTCGCATTTACCACCCAGTGCCTTCGTGCTTGTGGACAGCCTAGTGGTTTCCACTGTCTCCAGTTGGCCAGGGAATTCACTCCAGAGAGAAAAGGGTTTCTCGTGGCAGACTGCAGTCCACACAGGAAGCTCATCTTGCTTTCGCTCGGCTATCTAGAACACAAAACACAAGATGTGAGCACCTGTGGAAATACGTCTTCACAAACTGGGAATGGGATGTTTAAGAAATGTGTGTTAAACATCTTACAATGAATGCCTGTGCTCCTGCCCATCCCCCACAGCAGCTCCTTTCGACAGGACAAACCAAAGGGGTATACACAATTAGTTCACTATACAGTGCTTATTTTCAACACTTGAATCAAAAACTTCATTTTAAAAGTTTTTTTTTATTGCAGGGAATCTATTTGATTAGAAAATCACTTGGGGGAAAGAGAAATAGCTTAGGTAAAACAAGAATAAATTTGCATCAGTTGACAAATATGATGAATACAAACAGACAGAAAAGCCTAACTTACAAAATCCCAATGTATTCTTTCCAATAAAACCCTGAGAGTGGGTGGTGGTGGTGCACACCTTTAATCCCAGCACTCGGGAGGCAGAGGCAAGCAGATCTCTGTGAGTTCGAGGCCAGCCTGGTCTACAAGAGCTAGTTCCAGGACAGGCTCCAAAGCCACAGAGAAACCCTGTCTTGGGGGGAAAAAATTGACACTTAGCCAGATGCCTGTAATCCCAGAACTTGGGAGGCAAAGTCATGATGATCTCTGAGTTCAAGGCCAGTCTGATCTGTAAAGGGAGTTCTAGGACAGGCAGAGCTACACAGGGAAAGCCCATCTCAAAAAAAAAAAAAAAAAAAAGGAAGGGAGAGAGACTTTTGATTGGAGTCCGGAAGTAAGAAGACAGACTTTAATGCCACATAAAAATAGCTTTAAAATCAGAATATATAAAACAGGGGTTTCGACATACTTGGCAATGAAGAATCAAAAGATGGAAAACAAGATGAGAACCTACAACTAACCCAGAGAACCACCTGATGAGTTTCTAGAATCACACAGACAGGAGAGCCTAGCCCCTTAACTACCCTAACCGGCCGGTAGCTGGATCTTATGGGCAGAGCACAGGAACACAGACGAGCACAGAGAGGACCCGGTGTCCGCACAGGCCCCTCCCTGCGGCTGAGTACTAGCTGCTCACATGAGTCGGAAACCTCCCTGAAGCTCGGAAAGAACCAGCTGGTGAGCTGAGACTCCGGGACCCACATGAGCGAAAGGAGAACCAGCTCTTTCAAGTTGTCCTCTGATACCCACAATGTGTTATGGCACACACACGCATAAAGACAGAGAGACAGAGACAGAGAGACTGGGAGAAAAAAGGCAGATGTATTGGATAAACTCTGTAGTGAACATCAGCTTCAGAAGTGAGACAAATGGATGCATCTGAATACAGACGTGTTGTTGCAGGAAATGGCTTTTCTTAGATAATGATGTGGGGTGAATATCTCATTTCTGACACACGTGATAAAGCATCTATTCATGAATGAAGCCGACTTGCAACTACATGCAGACATGTACACCTCCACACAACTGTACTTCCACACAAATATACACACACAGGACATAGAGCCAATGCTGTAATACTGATAATCATATCTATGTGGTTATATCTATGTTCCTCAAACTTTCTTTCAATTTTTCTAATGTTTTAAAATCTTCATTGGGGGTGTTATGAAACTAACTTTATTATTACAGTATTAATACCTAAAAAGATGTTTCAGAACTGCTAATTTTAGTGACTAGCCTTGTCTGCATAGAAGACAATTTGAAGGTTATTAGACTGTACTTTTTGTAATTTGTATACCACACTTTTGTGTTATTAATTTATAAAGTGAATAAAGTCAACACTAAGTGAAAATTAACCCCATTGAAGCTCTTTTTGAGATACTAGCAATTAAAAACGAGTAGAGTCAACTTAGCCTATTAATAGTTTCTTGACATTAACAAGATACTTCCTGTTGTGATATATTTGATCACAGTGTGACACTCTTGAGACTGTGTTAATAAAGTTAAACTTGGGTGAGGGAGGGGCAGCCAGTGACGTATTGACAAGAATTGACCATAGAGATTTTAGAGGATTCAGGATACAATAGAGAGGCATAGGAAGGCGTAAGGAGGGGCTGAGAGAGATGCCTTTTTGATCTGGGGAGTGTGGGGAAAAGGACAGCTGGTCACTCCTCTGCCACTTCTTTGATGAAGTTTTCACCCTGACATTTGACTCCCAAGTATATATTGATAGAAGGACAATTTGGATAAACGCTTCAACTTTCTAGCTTCCTTTCGTCTGCGCAGCACTAAACTGAGAAGTAGGATGATGATAATGACAGCGATGGCGATGATGATGATAATAATTTAAGTCTGAAAATGATTGCAAACTCGCAGCCATGTGTCACATATAGAAAAGTGTCGGAGAGCTGCACTGTAAGCCTCCTCACCATGCAGGCAGAGCTCCAGGTGCTCTTGGGGCACGCCAGAGATGCAGTTAACGGATGTGTGCAGCCACTGCTGCTACAGCACAGCAGCCTGTCTTACTGACGCTGTTTTTAAAAGTAGAATCAACACCATCTACGGTAATAATAGAAAGCACATCGTTACCATTAGCAAGTACAGCATGCTATACATAGCTACAGGTCCGGGATGTGAGTAGTTGCTTAGCCTGCATTAAGACAGATACCATGTCACTAGGCAACAGGAGTGTCTGAGCTCCACAGTAACCTAATGGGACCATCTTCATGTATTTGAACAAGTCGTTGGGTTCTTCATTGGCTAAGTGGTATGGAAGCTACAGGAAGAACATAAAACATAGTCCTTATCTTTGTGGAGGCGGCATTCTAATCAAGAACTGGATTTATTGGGGGACAATACATAAAATTTCTTATTGATGCCATGTGCTTTTTTTTTCTAGAAATCAAGCTACAAAAACAACATGAACACATTTTCTTTCCTTCAAATCTGATGACTTACTGTCATAAAGCTTTAACAATTTCCTGGCCATGACCTCAATAGGGAATAGGCCAGCAGGAGGTCATGTTAGCCCCTAACGGCCACTGGTCTCAAAGCCAACAGCAGACATCGACCACAGAGACAACTCCACAGTAAGCATAATCTAGCACAGGAATTCAAGAAGTGTGGACGTAGGGTCTGCAGTTGGTGCTGCAGCAAACCAAGCCCATGCAAGGTGGAACCATGAGGGAAAGTTCTGTAAGTGTTTGCATAGAAAGAATGACGGAATATGTATGTGGTAAGTGAGAGACCACAGAGGGAGGGAGGGAGGGAGAGAAGGAGGGAGGGAGGGAGGGAGAGAGGGAAGCTAAACATGGACGCAAAAGAAGGACTTCATGTTCTCTGAGATCACTGTGCTTTCCAAAATCTGAACAAGCTCCAGAAGCTCCCTAAAGTAATTCCTTCTCTTGGTCCACTTTCTGTGTCTTACAGATGATCTCAAAGACATTTTCATGATTGGAGGCAGCCACACAAGTTCACGTGCAAGCTAATATTTCCATATAATACGTGTCAAGAAGCAGCCTAAGGGATCCCTTACACACATTTCCCAATCTTCCAGAGACTAAGTTCCAAACTATACTGGATTAGCCCTAGGATTTTTAACATCCAAAAGAGCAAAGGCCACTTTAGATCAGTCCTGCCAATCTACCTCCTTACTACGCCAGCGCAGCTCACCCTGGGCTCTGTGACCCTGCATGGAGATTTTACTACAGGCTCTCTCTCACTCTGCTTTAGTTCACCACTAACCCCTTCTCCAAGCAACCTAAAGCAATCCTTAAGAAAGGCAAATTAGCCTGACAGTGTTGGCACACGCCTTTAATCTCAGGACTCACTTGGGAGGCAGAGGCAGGTAAATCTTTGTGAGTTCGAAGCCAGCCAGATTTACAGAGCAAGTTCCTGGACTGGCTCCATAGGTGCTGAGAAAAGGAAGGCAAATCAGGCGTTGGCACACGCAAGCCTTTAATCCCAGCACTTGGGAGGCAGAGGCAGGTCATCTCTGTCATCTCTGTGAGGCTAGCCTGGTCTACAAAGCAAGTTCCAGGACAGTCAGAGCCATTATACAGAGAAAACATGTCTCAAAAAAACAAACAAAAAAAAATCAAAGCAACAACATAAATCTAACCCAAAGAGTCAGTCACACACAAAGAGATCTGCTAATCTAAATCAGCAGTAAGTGCTACCTGCAAGTGCTCTGAAGCTAGTGTGCCAGGGCAGGCCTGTGTTCCACTAGCGTGCCAGGGCAGGCCTGTGTTCCGCTAGTGTGCCAGGGCAGGCCTGTGTTCTGCTAGTGTGTCAGGACAGGCCTATCTTCCAGCACTTGAGTCACAGAGCTATTCAAGATAATTTAAAAAAACAAGACTTTATTGATGTGGGATTCCCCTCTGTATACTATGAGAAATGGGTTGGTTTAAGATATGAGTTAGCTAGAAATATGCCTAAGCCATTGGCCATATAGTGTTGCAATTAATATAGTTTCTGTGTGATTATCTGGGTCTGAGTGGCCAGGAAACGAAAGTGCAGTCTCCACCTACACTGTCTGTATAACATGACAACAGGAGAGGCTAAGTTGAAGGCCAAAAGGCACTTAAGGTCATGCTCAACCTCCTTAGCGATCAGGGAAATGCAAATCAAAACAACTTTGAGATATCATCTTACACCTGTCAGAATAGCCAAACTCAAAAACACCAATGATAGCCTATGCTGGAGAGGATGTGGAGTGAGGGGAACACTCATCCACTGTTGGTGGGAATGCAAACTTGTGCAGCCACTGTGGAAATCAGTGTGGCGGTTTCTCAGGAAACTAGGAGTCAACCTCCCTCAGGACCCAGCAATTCCACTCTTGGGAATATACCCAAGAGATGCCCTATCATACTACAAAAGCATTTGTCCAACTATGTTCATAGCAGCACTATTTGTAATAGCCAGAACCTGGAAACAACCTAGGTGCCCCTCAATAGAAGAATGGTTAATAAAGGTGTGGAACATATACACATTAGAGTTCTACTCAGCGGTAAAAAACAATGACATCTTGAATTTTGCATGCAAATGGATGGAAATAGAAAACGCTTTACTGAGTGAGGTAAGCCAGACCCAAAAAGA